TTATTATTAAACATCGAGAGTAACACACTAGAGGTCACGCCACACAATATTTAGTAGTCACAAAAATACTCCCTCATTCAAGTGGTTGCCAATTTTTTAATAGATACCTCTTATTAATAGTTAACAGAAACGATTAGTCCAATAATTAGGGGCTTCTCCATTAAGCATAACAGAAAATACTTATGGAGAATGGATGGGATGGAGAAAGCAACACCAAAAAGTTAGGGGAAAAAACAGTTAAGCACTTATTGAAAGTATAATTAAAGAAAAAAAGTTAAATAGTTAATAAAAGCCTACTTAAAGATTAAGATCCTATTTTTCGAAGTTCAACTCTGATTTTGAATAACACAGCTTGTAACATTGTTTAACTTTAGTTTTTTTAAGATAATTAATTGTTAAAAAAAATATAATAGTTAAATAATAAATATTCTCTTACCATGTCCCAAAGGAAAATAGTTAAAAGAAAAAGAAAAAAAAAGAAAAAAAGTGGTTTTATGGATCAAAGTTTTCTAAGCCCAAATCAGCTGATAAGAGTGCCAATATCCACATCAACCTGAAAGCAAAGAAACGAGTTCTTTAAATGTTGAACTCCAAATGGGCTGCTTGACGGGCATTGTCGCGCAGGCCTGTGACCCAAGCGAGGCCCATAAGCTGATGTGGTCAGAGTATTTGATGGGCTCCTAATTCTTTGGGTCACGTTACATAAATGGGAGACAAATGGTCGGCCGATGCATTATTGCGCGGGCAACTGGTGGGACCTTGGGTTGTATCCTTTTGCATCACTCTCTCGGATTCGGATAGCTCAGTAGCTTGTGCCTATCCTCTTATTTTGGTGTCCATCATTTTATTGGCAAAATCTTAATTTTTAACCCCTCACTTTGGTATTTTTTTATTGGTAAAAATTTATTTTTAATTTTTCACTTTGTTAAGTTGGAAAGTTTTACTTTTTTATTTTATATTATAATATTTTTAATTTTTAATTTTATTAAATTTATATGTTTTAACTTTTTATTTTATATTATAATATTTTTAACCCTTCATTTATTAAAATTAAAAAAAATAACTCTTATTTTATAATATTTTATTAATTAATTATTAATTTTATTAATTAATTATTAATTAATTATTATTTGTCAAAAACTTTCTTTTTTGACTAACAGATATTTCGAACCAAATCTCACCTGCAATTGCAGGTTAAGTTTTACTTATTCCGAACCAAATTCAATGCAGTACGTCTGCAAAGACAAATTGGTACCGAATTCCATGCAGTACGTCTGCAAAGACAAATTGGTACCGAATTCAATGCAGTACGTCTGCAAAGACAAATTGGTACCGAATTCAATGCAGTACGTCTGCAA